TTTCCCCCCCCCCCCCCTCTCTCTGTGTGTATCGACCAGTCGATATGTCATGACCGTTCGAGAAACAACAAAGAAAACTACTTTTCCTGGGCAGCTTGCCGTTCGTTGTCTGACTATTTCTTTCTCGGCGGCACTACACGACCTCTCGCTCGTTCTCGTTCGTTCTCGTTCGTTCTCGTTCGTTCTGTTCAGTTTGACTATTGGATGGTGCCATGGTGGGAGCTGGAGCAGGGAGCCGATGGCGCCGACGACGAGAGTGATGGATTGTAGCTTTCGTCATTGGTGTCTGTCTGTGCTGCTACTTGATCTGTACTGGTCATGCGTGTACCCTTTTTCATGTGCCTGCGTACGGTGGCGAGAGTGGCTTGACCGGAGCTAGACGCATTCCGGCATGGTTGGATGTATGCATGTATGTGTGGGGTAAAGCGTCATATTTCGTTCTGAACAGGAGCTTACAGGTATCGCCCAAGTCTCGATCTTTCCCCCCAATACGCTTGGTTTGTGGGGAATTGGAATGACCGACGCACAGCCGGGGTGAATATACTCTGGCCCAGGAGGGGTAGAATGAACGGGTAGAACCTACGGCAAAAATGTCTTGATTGATTAGGCTTTGGCGATTTTGATTTTGATTATTTTCCTTGGCCTCGTTTATCGCAAGCGTCGGGCTCACGCAAATATCCATTGCCCCGACAGGTCGCTTGCGACGTTTGACGGCCTGGGGATTTAGTTGTTTTGATGCTACATTCTACATTTTCGTATCATCAGTGTAACATCGCGATTGATTGTGTTGAATCTTCTGGGTCCTTTGATAGGCTGTACGATTTGTCATGGTACCCTTTTAAGGTAGTTAGCCTGTGACCAATGTGATCGGAAAATGTGATCGGAAATGGAGGGTGTTTGAAGGCACGGGGCAGAGATAGATCGGAACGGTTTTTGACGTGAAAGTAACAACAACGACAGCGACCACAACGCGTCAACAGGACGAGGACCAGTTCGGGTGTTGTAAGGTACACCCGGCCGAACGGAGAGGTTTGCAGTATGTGGGTTGCCCGTTCTTCCTTTTCACATCCGGATTCGGATGTACGGTCAGAAAACAGGGCGTGCCGTGCCATGTGCGTGCTCGTATCTTGATTCATTTTCGAGGCAGCCCTGGGGGTTACTTCGTCGGTTTTGCAGTATATCGTCTGTGGGCTGCGAGTGAGCAAGACTAGTATTTCCGTTCGTTCCGCTGACGACCCCAAGTCGTACGAGGTTACACGGGTGACAATATTTGAAGACATTTGAAAAAGAAGACAACCTCAATTGCAAAAGGCAGACTCAAATTGTTGCTTAGACTACATATTAGTCGTTGAACCACAGCAGTGCTCTCGCTGTTGCCTTGCACTCCGGTGGACTGGACTCTGGGAGGACAATTCAATGGAAGACTCGTCCAGCTATCACACGATGAGTGCGACCTCTTTCACCCCCTAAACGATACCCTTCACATCACGATCTTGTTGTTATCAAATCCAAACACAAACGTAAGGGAGACCAAATTCACCCTCTCCGCCCCCGCTGTCTGTTTGGTTGATAGGCTTGAGGGTTCGGGTTATTGTCATAGTTTTTTACCCGCTGTGATGAGCCGCGCTGAAACAACCGTGTGTGTGTGTTTTTCTTATAATTAGCATCGACCGCGCTAACCGGCTGACCAATGAAAGGACGTCAGTGCCAGCGGGTAAAAATCAAGGTCCCTGGAAGGGGGCCAAATTCGAAAAAAGCACAATGCGCTAAATGCGAATGTCAATACGACTCTCTCTACATATTCTTTCACGTAGACACACGTCTCAGCTACACAAATGCCCTCGCTCCAATCTAGGAAGCCACTGATGCAAAGAGCAGAGGACAGCAAAAGGGTTTATTCAAGCCCAGCCGAAGCCAGGATATCGTGGTATGCTGCATCTCCCAA